AAATTTTAGTCAGGATTTTACTCATTTTCTGTTCAAAAATAAGACCCGAAAGGAAGTTATTCAACGCATCTGTGCGTCGCCCAAATGTCGTTCAATTTCTCTTTCGTTTTCATGTGGATCATGAAACATTCAGTTTATCTTGCAAGCATAAAGTAGACAAAGAAATGAAATCGAAAAACCATTGTGTGTGACGTTGAACTTACCTTGTTCTACCTTTTTAAAAATCTTATTTTTATCAGTTTACAAAAACATTCAAGACCTGACTCCTGCTGAAGTTCAATCGCAGCCGTTACAATCGACCTTTAATGTCAAGAAACAACGTCGTTATGAATGATTTCTTTATTTATTAAACAGTTTCAAATGCGTAATCTTACAAAAACAATCTCCCATATTTTTCGTGAAATTTCATAAAGTACTTTACCTAAAACTTCTCGATTTTATGTTTCATAACATTTTACAACACTGGCTCTAGCATACCTGTCAAAGTCACGTGAATACCTGTGAAAGCTCTGTAAATACCTGTAAATTTTACCCACAGTAATTACGGCAAGATCAGAGAGCTTTTACGAATTAACGAACGGTTCCTGGGGTTATTCACCCTTGCACTTTATTCTCTTCCTCCTTCATCGGTGCGCATTTATTTACAATAGACTTCAGGTGATAATCTAATTTTCGTCGGTGCATTAACGGGAAGTGAGGGATTGTTTAGTTGTAAATTATTCTACCTTTTCCTCGCACTGCATTCAGTATATAAGACGGAATACAAGACCTCTGCAAGAGGCAAAAAAGATCTGCAATTTGCCGAAAAAACCTGCATATTGTTGCCTTTAATCAAAACCTAACTAAATTTCTCTCTTAAATACTCGTTATAAGGAAACCGCTTCACTCTTTACTTCTAGTTAGTCTTCACCCTTTGCTTTGATTCTCATGGAGGAACAAAGTTGCTAAACTATCCTCTGTGATCGTAACTCAATGTAGCTTGCGGTTCCACGTTGACGAAGTCGGTTCAATTGATATTTTCCGTAAATTTCATAATTGAAAGAAAGGTCGATGGACTCTTGGTGTGCAGTTGACCGACGACAACTTACTACCTTTTTTTTTTCAAGTGGCGTTTATCCGTGATGTCTCGCAAGTTAATAAGTTGAAGAGAACTGCCAAAAAAAATGATCTTATTTATGGGAAAAGTCCAGAGGAGCATCATGCTAGATAACATTTTGATCGGACTACATTTTGCAATTTGGAACCATAAATTTTGGCTCTTCTGGAAAAACACTTCTGTGCAAAGGAAACGAATGGCACATACGTTGTTTATAAACCGGGCTAGGATTATTAGTTCCAGATTTCAAATGTAGTCCAATTGTCCTCCTATGAGTCCCCTAATGGTACATGCATTATAGCGAACCGATGGAAGTTCCGGACCGACTTAAGTCGACTACATTTTGCAATAGGAACTGCCATTTCTGTCTCAGTTTGAAAATTAGGTATGTGAAATCAGTTTCTCTACGCTTTTAGGTTTTTTTTCCGATGAGCAAGAAATTGTAGTTCCGAATCGCAATATGTAGTCCAAATCATAATTTGGATTTGCCAGCCCTGTCTGGCACTAGCTCTGTCAAGCAGCACTGCGCAAATAACGAAATATGAACCATCGCAGATGTTCTGTTTTAAGATGCACTTCCTCCTTCCGCACGTCCTCGGAGAGTTTTTCGTCCACGCTTTTAGTTTTAAACGAGATGGTTTCTGTTGCATTCCGCACTAATTTAGAAGTTTCGAGCTGTATCTAAGAAGCTTCAAAGAGTGTTTGTCCTTATTTTGAGCGCAGTCTCGCTCAAAATTTATGAAGTCGCCTCTTCCTATGTCAAAGGGGTGGGTATTTAAACCGGAATGCAATTTTTTTTCGCTATTTTATTTACATTGAAATTGATTTTAATTCTATTATCTTTGACTACCGAACAGCAGGCAGTCTGATCGCTTCGGGTCCAAAAACATTTTGTAGATGCGAATTTTTAAAATCATCGCGCGTGTTCTCGAAATTTCCTCTCATTTTCTTACAGTTCTTTTTTAACACCAGTTAAACGAAACGTGGGTGAAAGAAATAACGGAATTTGTATTATTAACGTTTGACTAATGTCCTATGTTTCGTATGAGTTAATTCTCGAACATCTTGTTGTGTGATTTGCTTCTCGCGAATTAATAAAGTGAAAACTTGTGGTTTATTGCTCAATTTGTTCAAATTTAACAAATAAGCACAACAAATTAATTTAAGACGCGCCAAGACTAATTTTAGGGAATATATAATAGAACTGAGAGAAATTTTGAGATTAACCAGTCGTAAATTTTCTCTTGCCAAAAAATCACAGTCTAGAAAACATACTGAAACAAGGAAATATGATTCCAACTGTGTCTTCACTTTTGATTCCTTCGGAGGAATGAACCCTCAAAACGCTTACTCTTTCTCGCGGTTCAAACTTGGTACAACTTCGTGCGGTTTTCGACCTCAGGATCGATTTTCTAAAAAACCAGTAAAAGCTGTTATTTAATTATCGAAAATGTATGTAAATATTCTAAAATTGAACTTAATGCGTTCCTATTAAAGTCGTTACACTTCAATCCGTGTCTGAAGGTCTATTCTTGAAAAAAGCGTAATCCCCCGTACATGCTCAAAAGAAGAAGAGCAAAATTAGCACATTCCGACAGCCAGTTCACACACCGCTATCGCCTCTAGCGGATATCACAAAGGGAAATACGAGAAGGATCCGCGAGAGTTTAAAGATAACTCGACTAACGAACATTAAAGCTGTTTTATATTTGAGGAAATAAAGAAGCTACTTCCTTCAAGTGGAAATATACATTAAAAGAAAGTTTTCGATAGAAAACGCTAACATACACTCCTATTCCGCTTGTATCCCTGCCACGCATTGGAATAACCGCGCATCTCTGCAGGGTTTCAATGGAAGTTACGTCGTTTTTGTCTGGCATGGCAAATCTTGCAAAGGGATCAAAGTATGCCGCTCGTCCCGCCGTATCTCCACCTCTGACGCTTTTAACGTTCTCTCGCTCGCGATAGCTCCCAGACTTCAGACGCATTTCAACGGGGAAGTTCCTAAACCACGTACATCTATTGCAGCGTTTCAAAATCTCCTTTTATTCCATTTACTCCATGGAGAATGAATGAACATCACTCCTTAGCATTTTCACAGAGGATGTCTCTCCAGAGTGTCGACAAGTCCGGGAATAGAGCTGATTTTTTATGGAAGGTCCGGTCCGGAAGCATTGAAAAAGTGTGGAAATTCCGCTTAAGGCCTGGAAATAGTACCGATTTTTGAGGGGGGGGGTCCGGAAGTACTGAAAAAGTGCGGAAATTCCGTTAAAGGACTGGAATTTTTTTCTTATTTTTGTCATTGTTGTCTGAATTTGAGCGAGAAATGCAAATCGTTAAAAATTTTCGAATTTCGTGAAATGGAAGCACTGAAGAAGTACAGAATTTGTCTGTTGGGGAAGCACTGAATTTTTTGGAAATGTACTGTGAAAGCACTGATTTTTGGTCCTGTTTTAGTAGACAGCCTGTTCTCATTATCAAGATTTTCTCAAATCTTACCAGTCACTATGTAAATCACATGCGGCCCCCTGAGAAAAGAAGTTTCCAAAGAACGACTTTGAGGAAGATTCCTGACGTATGACTGGAAAGTCTCCGACGCCGCACAGTGGATCGAGGCAATTAGAGAGGTTGGGCATGAATTTTCTGACTAAAACTCCACAGTTTTATGTTCATTTCGTCAAATTTTAAACTACAATGGGCGTTTCTTGAAGAAAATTACAAGAAAAAACCATTGGGACCACTTTCAGAACTCCAAAGTCTTGTCTAAACGGAGTTAAAAGCGTTTAAAGTTTCCTGTCCGACTCCTCCTGTTGACTCGATCCATGTGCGTCGCATAGCGAGATACGTGGTTTGGGGATTTCACTGTCGATTAAATACTTACGTATCTTGACTCGCGTGAAATTCTCGACGTTATCATGCAGTCACTTTAAATTAAGAAGGAGCGGATACGAAGACAAGGTCTGAATGACAGTTTTATATTAAAAGTTTCCTCATCAAAATTTCGAGTCGCGAACTTCAACCCGAACGAAAGTTCGGAGCTAATTTTCATTTCTCAGGGTTGTTATTATGGTACTGAGGAGTCGCTCGTTTATTTTATCTTTAGCATGAGAACATCAATGAGCAACGGGGATCCTGCAGGAGATTATTCGGACTCCGTTAAGTCGATTGGATCTATCCACCAAAGAAATTCAATTGAATTGATACGTGGACTACATTTTGCAATCGGGGACTACAATTTCTTGCCCTTTTAGAAACAACGTATGTACCATTAATTTACCTATGCACATGAGTGTTTTTGGCATTGAGGCAGATATTGTAACTCCTTGTTGCAAAATGCAGTTCAAATTGAAGTGAAATCCATAAGATATTCTAAAATCATCAAAATCATTGGCATTTAGTGAAAAGTAGGATCAGAGTTAAGATTCTCTATTTAGAAGAAGAATGAAGAGTTACACATATTTTCATTCGAAATTCAAAACTGAGTTTCTCTGATCCTCAGTTATGCAGGTTTTTATTGACTTTTTATCTTTTGGAATTCCTATTTTCGTCTTGGTTGGGGAGACCGAAATATATTGGTTCAATAATACATGCTTTCTCTGTTTTGTCTATTGCCAAAGCAACCAATGGGAGACCATAAAATAAGTCCATCATTTTCTACCTCAGTCCACAAGAACCAGCCGTTTCAACCAATAGGATTGCTCCATACCCCTTATGTCTTCCTTGTCTATCGCTTTGTTTATTAGTTTAACAATCACGACTGATATTAACATTGTGCCGGCCTACCTGACCGCTTCGCACACACAGGGTGCTATTTTACCATGATCTATACACGGCAATCGTTGAATATTTGAAGAAATATTTTCAAGGAACACTTGTCGAAGTATTGAATGATAGAAGAAGAAACTTTTAACTTTTGAGTATCTCATCTCTATTTTATTCATTCAGGTTTGACAAACTCCGAAACAAACGTCTTAAAATTGAACACACGCTAAGTCGTTGCTACAATGTTAAAAGCCCGGTGATTACCGGTATAAATAAACAATATTTACAACTATATTTACATTTCATCGTCTCTTAAACGCTAGTTTTAGTTTTGTACTGAATTAATCAATAGATTCTCAACATTGAAGCCTGTCCCATTTCCATGGGGAAAGCTCCCTTCCATTTGAGAAAGGATGTCGCAAGAATAAAATCGTATTTTGCACCAATTTGTGCATATTTTTGGCCGTTTTAATGCGGGGATATCAAGAATTCAACCGCGAAGCCTAAAATTTTAAGGACCCTAAACCGAAATTGGGTCGTAAATTTCGGTCAATCGTCCATCACATCAGTAAGAAACCTTTTGAGAAAGTGATTAAGTATTGCCTGGCGGGTTCACATAAAGGTCCGTGAGCTAGCCTTAATGATTTTTCTCGTATTATTTCTCCGCCGATGTTTAAATATGATTTGTCATTTGCTTGTGTTGGAACTCCTTTGGATTCTTCTAAGTTTAATCGTTCCTTGTGGTGATGTGTATCTCGACTGGGTGTCCAGAACGCAAATTCAAAGGAAAACAGCATAGATGATGAAGTAGAGAATCAGGAAAGGTACCAATGACATACAGACTTTGATCGTTTGGTTCATGATGTGTAACCTGAAATTGCAAGAAGTAAATAAGATGTACGGAAACTAAATATAATGTGGATTCCTTCATTTTGACAAACTTCAGGAGAATTTATCGTGAGGGGAATTCAGAGATTCAAGTTTAGCGTCTCGCTACCGTTAGATGTAAAACTAATATCGAGTATGGTTTTTTTTTCTTTTAAGAAATTCCAAAAAAAACTAGGATATGTGAGAAGATAACACTAGTCTTATGATATTCCTCAAGGTCCTCAAATACAGGGATCTACTAGAAAATGACACATATCTGACTAAATTTTGAAAAAAGAAAGAAGAAAGAAATGTCCCGTTTCTTCAAACATACTGCTTATTGGATACCACACCTCTCCATATCTACCTCGCAGCTTAATTGGACTGCATTTTGCAATTTGGAACTATAAATTCTGGCTCATCTGAAAAAACACTTATGTGCATAGGGAAACGAATGGCACATACGTTGTTCTTAAACCGGGCCAGAATTTATAGTTACAAATTGCAAAATGCAGTCCAATTTCTCTCAGTATTTCAAATTTTGTAATGCATATTGGACAGCAAATTCGTATTTGACCGCCAACTGAGCGTCAATGATAATTACCTACAGTTTGATCAAAAATCTTACAACGACTCCATTTCAGCGAGTCAAGTTTTCCAGAGTCAAACGCACGAAGAATGACGTGTAGTATCCTAGTACAACCAGAAGCGAATGAGTTTTCTTACCTATTATATTTGACTCTAGCGGCAGGGATCGTCGATGGATCATCCTTCATCAGGTATTTCCTCGTCCCTAGGTAGTATATCCTCATGTACTCGGACCAGTCAATGCTGCTCAAGTCGAAATTGAAGAGCTCTTTGTCCCTCTGGCTCAGTTTGTCATGATACAGCGATCTGACATTGTCTGAGGAGAAATTGAAGGACCGTGCGGCGAAGTACCCCAGCAGCCAGGTGAAAACTTCAATTTTTTGATACATTTTCACTAACCTGGAACCAAAACGATCGTTAATAATGCCGTGCTTAGAGAAAACGCCGTATGACCGAGATATGGCACTTGGATTTTTTCGGTTCATGACCTCAAGCGTCATCCATTGCGGGAGTAACCCCATTGGTTTCTTCCACCTTAGTTTCGTCAATCGGCGAGACATACATTTTCACTGGTGTACCAGCTGGCTGGTTGTGCAACTCAGATGAAAGGAAGGTGGAAGAAGCCAAGGGTGACACGACCATGGTGGATGACGTCACAAACCGTATTCTTCAAAGCGCCATATCTCTGTTAATATTGAACGTAGATAGTTGCCGTTTGGATAAATCTTGTAATTTTAAGGTGATCTACGAAAATCAAGCATTAAAGCACGAATCTGAGATCAGTGCAATTGACCCATTTGCTAACGTGAGAACTTAGTTTACTGAAAACACCACATGCTTTCTATGTCAGATGCAGCAACATTACTCCGCCCTTTTAGGGGGCCTCCTTAAGAAAAAGAGGTGTTTCAGGACAGAGGTTAGTTTGAACCACAGAAAAAATTTTGGCCCCAGTCATCCTTCCAACATCGGTAAAAAAAAACACATTGAATCTAGAGTCCAGGCTCTTGAAAACACTCCATGCAAGTAAGTTGAGCTGTCGTTAGTGATTTTGACTGTGCCGTTCGGCATTTGGTCAAAAACACAGAGGAAAAAGAATTAACGCCAAAAATCGAGAACATCAAACATGCGCCTGCAATTTCGTATGAAACTGTGCAACACCTCTATTGTGAAATAGTTCCTTAAGGCGCCGTGGCACGCTGCGAGGCGGCGCGAGCGACTGGCCAGCGCATTGGCGCCTACAAACCTAGAGGGATGCTTCAAGCATTGCGCAATGCGTGAAGTATCCTCTTAGGTTTGTAGGCGCCAGTGCATCACGCTGCCCTGCACTGGACAACAAAACACATTTGATCTAGAGTTGGTGAGTAGAATCAAATAAGTTTTGCTCTTGGAGCCATCGTTTTTTAAAAAAGTGACTTTAGTTATTTTAAGACTTCAGCATGTTTTCTGAAGTCCTCATACTCTATGAAAGTCGATTTTAATAGTGGTCAATCTTCGTTTTCAACAGAATTTTTTTTTTTTGCCTCTTCTATCACGGGAAGTTAAATTTTTTGTCCGTACCGTAGACCAACTAAACAGGCTTGTTTTTCTATCAATACGTGCGATAATAATACCGTTTTAAGTTTTTTTGCACTCATTGAGCTATAATCTTGTAGAAGAATAAAAAAAAATACCCTTCGAAGTTTTTACTTTCAAAATTTAGCCCCCAAATTGCTCTAAAGTCCGATTTCTAGAATTTTGCGCCATAATTTTTCTCCTAAGAAAGCCAGGAAATGTAATTAAACGCTTAATTTTAATTAATTTCTTTAGAACTAACTTAGAAGATGTGGTAGACAACTTTTTTAAAGAATTTCTACAGGTATGCTCTTCTTAAAGCTACAAATTGTACAATTTTTTATTGGTCTACGGTACGGACAAACGGGCTACGGTAAGGACGAAGAGGCATTCGTAAATATTACTGTATGCAAGGGCCGAATTATAAAGAACTGAAATTCATTGGGGAATAAACTGCTAAGTTATAGCATAGCTTATAAGTGCCACTTTTATAAATTATTACAGACAATAAAGGTAAAAAGAGTAAGTAAATCAGTTTTTCAAAAATAATGAACTGCTTTTATTTTAAAGTAAACGAATTAAATAATTAGGGATAAATCTTAGAAGCTGAGTTCTTAAAACAAGCTTGACAACGTTAGAACGTTTTAGGTGCACTTTTACAAAAAAAGAAAGAAAACAAAGAGGTAACTTTATCGAAAATGTGGTCACAAATCACCTTAAATAAATATTTAAAGGACGATAAGAAAAAAATAAGTTAGATATTAACGAGTAAATATTAAACGAATAAATTGCTATGAACCTCAGACGAATAAGAGGACTCAAAGTTCCAAAAGAAAAAAAGAAAAAAATAAAAAGATGGCGATCCATATGCAATCATCGAAAAAAAAAAGCCTCCTTCTTCTAAGTCGCGTCGTACTAAAAAAAAAATACGTCTCTCTCTTTTTTTTTAATTCCAAATTTTGGTGATGGATAAAATAAAGTAAGGTGGGATGATCTATCAAACAGCGCACTGATTTTTGGATGACTTTCGCATTTTGTCCGTACTTACCGTAGACCCGGCCGCATCGCGCGTGAGCTACGGGCTACGGTACCGGACGGCTACGGGCTACGGTACGGACGGCTACGGTGCGGACAAATCGTGTGATTATTGGCAACGGTGCTCGGGCATATTCACGCATGTGGTTGAAATTTTGGATTTGAGGTTAAGATATCAGAGCGTATCAAAAAATACCAAAATTCGAGAGTTTGAAGTGATTTTTGCATTAAAAAGGTAGGTATACGGTAAGGACATCCTAGATGGTCGTTAAACCTAGAAACTCATAAAAAACGGTCAAAATTTACTGTTTCATTGCGGTTTTTTTTCCTCTGCTCGACATCAGCGTGTGATAGTCACGATAACACAAAAAAAGTAAACAAAGTTCATAAGTGCTGCACTCTAACGGACGAAATGATGCTGAAAAAAGGGGGCTACGGTACAGGACGCGAATTCCTCAGACAAGGCAGCTTGACGCAAAGACGGTCAATATTTTCACTTATTTGGATGAATATAACTGAAAATAATAAGTTAGGTACAAGTTGAGTGTGAATTTACAGCAGAAGTGGAAGTATTTAGATGCAAGATGATAGTTATGAAGCGTTAAAGTTGCGCACTTGAGTCGCAAACAGGCTACGGTACAGGACATTTCAGCTGTTTAGGACCAAAATTCTGATATTAAATGGCAAAAACTGCCTAAAGCGATGTTGGGACCTGATTAAGCGTAAAATTTTGAACAAATTTAAAAAAAAAAAAGGTCAGATTTTTCCATTTTGAAGGGCTAAAAAGTCGGCAGACATGGTAGAGCAAAACTTATTTGATTCTACTCCGCGCATTCTTTCCCCAAGATGCCGGCAAAAAATCCACCCAGCGGCTCTTAATATCTCTTACGTTTGCCTCGTGTAAACCACACCTAAATATAGGTACATATACTATTATAGAGCCTGAAATACTTTTCACGATGACGCCATACCTCGGGGGCCGTCCATACATTACGTCACCCATTTTTTCAATTTTTCGACCCCCCGCTCCCCTCCCTCCCCGTAACCTACCGTCATCCACTTCCAGGCCCCCCTTAAGATTCTGTCATCCTTAGCCTTAGCGTACCCC